AACGCAAGGAACCAAGTTCTTTGCTCGTATTTTTTAGTACAAACACTTCCTTATTGGTGTTTCATGGGATCTACAAAGACCCATCACCTTCTATTCTTACATATAAAAAGGAGACACACTAACTCTCTTTTTAACTTCAAGAGCCCCCGTGACAATAAAAACCCTAACTTCTTAACCACATTATAGGGTGACAAACAACCATATTTCATTTCCTTCCACCACTAACCTAAAGAAACCTTTTGAAAACCCCGTTCTAGACTATTTTTCAACATTCCATCAATCCAAAGAACCCTATTGCAGAAGAAACTTTTCAATATTCTTTATCGAAATTCCACTGCACAACCTATATTTATATAGGGCAGAAATATGTATTGTAAATCAAGGTAACTTAATGGTCGCAACCAGTGATTTAAAAATCGGCGAGTCGCAACGGACTCGTCCCAGTCGGCACGAGAATCGGTTACCCCGTGCCGATTCTAGTGTAAAACCCGGAACCGTCCGGTTTTACAACGAACCGCTCCATTCTGCACAGTGAATTGCTTCCCGATTTTGCACAGTGAACCGCTTGTATGATGTCATACACGGGTGAAAATCGCCTAAATGACGTCACGTAGCGAGTTAACACGTGCCAAAAGACAGATTCTCCATAGTCCACATGTGGAAGACTGTCGTCACCTATCGACCGTGCGTGGATGGCAACCTCGGGCACACACGTACAAACCTTTAAAAACTTACAAAGCAATTTATAGAAGCAAAACTAAAGTTCGATGTTGGATGTGGGATAATTCCTATGGTGCGTTAAATTATGATGGAATTTGGATAGTACTATTAATGTAGAAAACAATTACACTTGTGTTGATGTGGCGGAGTGGTTATCACTTCCATGGTAGAGCCATCACATCTCAAGTTCGATTTTGCCTTGGACACATTTTATTTATTTTTTATTGACAACAAAAATAAGCAAAAAGTAAATTTTTTTTTAAAAAAATTATTTTTTCTGAAATCTCTCTCTTTCTATTAACAATCTTTTTTACTAAATTTATTCTATAAATCTTCTTCTTTTTTTTTGAAGAAATTTATTCCATTTGAAATCTCTCTCTTTCTATTAACAATATCTTTTACTAAATTTATTCTAGAAATCTAAAAAATTAGAATTTTGAAAACCTAAAGTGCTCTTTCGAAAATTGGTATGCATTCTAATAATTTCTAACCAAAATTTTATTTTATTGATTAATTTTTGCATTATAAATCATGTAATTTATTATCTTTCTTACAGTTCTCAATAATACATTTTAAATTCGATCGTATTACAAAATATTTTAAATTTGTTATTATTTGTATAATAAAATAATTATAAACTTTAAACTAACAATTTTAATTTCAGCATATAACATTATAGTCAGTTAGGTTGTAATAAATTTGGATTATAGTTAGTTAGTTTGTAATAATTTGGGTTTTTTTACGGGATTAGGGCTTTCCGCCAATTTGAGATTTTGATGGCCATTTTTTATCGATTAAATCTACTCTTTATAGTAGTCCATGTATGATTATATATTTTATCCATGATAATTATGTGATTTTTCTTATGTGTGATGTAAATTTAATGGTTAACATAAGTTTATACAGAGAAAAAACATATCAATATTCACAAATTGATGAAAAAAGTGAAAGTTAACAATGGAGAACCCTCATTTCTTATTGGATTCCTAAAAGGAAACATTTATAATTAATTTTAATAATTTTTTTTGGATGTTTTTAGAGCTTAATCTAACCAAGTTGACCGATTCCCGATCTGAATCGCCGATTCACTGATGCGGATGGGTTTTTTAAATGACCGATCCGGGGCACCGATCCGTTTTTTAAATCACTGATCGCAACCATTCATGGATACCCAATGAGATAAGGGGTTAAACTCTTGAATCTCTTTCAAATCCTATTTGCAAAAGATCTACAATCTAACCTTTTCGTTGAGTGTACATGGAGGTCATCACAACCATAAATAAAACCATCTAATGGGTGATTAGAAACATTCATTCATAGTAACCCATTAGAAACATTCATTCATAGTGAAACGCATGTCATGTGACTTCTCAATGAAGGCACCACATGGAAAAGCGAAATGCTGCCTCGAGACTGTTCGTTATTTAACAGAACCGAAGGATTACCTAATAATTTTCAATACAGGAAGGAAATTACAATTCATGTAAATGCAACACATGAACTCCCTGGAGATCGTATGAAGCATTGACTCGACCTCATGGTTCCCAAAATTTATTCTACATATATCCCACCCTTCAAACTTGTGAATGCCATACTCTACATTTCATTCATGTGGACCGTTCGAGTGGTAGATGTTTGGGCATAATTTTGACTTACCCTAACTTTTACCTTAATATGTCTTTGAGAAAGCCTTATATCTTATTACACTTTTATTTAGATCACACATGATGGATACTGCATAAGGACTAAAGTGTTAAGCTCCTAAGATTTGAGTTAATACTTTGTTGCATTCATAAAGCACTGGGGATGATGTCTAATATATGAAACCCCTTAGTTTGAATATAGTTCCAAAATGTGTATTACCTTTGATTAACCCTATTACGATACTCTTTAATTTATTTTCATCCAATTACGAGACTCTATGGTGAATCAACCTCTCATTTTGCCAATACTCCAATGAATATGAAAATAACTTTAGTTATTCTACTTAACACTTCTCAATACATACATTGTCTACCCTCAAATAATATTATTGAGAAGATACTGATAGATTGTTACCCACATCTTCTAAAACCTAGTGGCTCGAAGATTTGTAAACACATTCCGAAAGATTACATACACTAAACTAGTAGAAATGATAAAGCCGTTCATCAAGTCACTTCTAACGGAAGACACTACATCCTTCTAGAATGATGTGCCAAGATAAAGATAACGCGGTACACGTTCAAGCATAATGAAGACTCCAGAACCCATAAACAATAATCCAGAATCACATGTCCTTATCAAAGCAAGACACGAGGACCGCTACACGTACTATATGATAACTTCTGGACACAATCGAGAGCCACTAATCGAAGTGGTTGATGATTATAAATAGCCAATGACGAAGAGCAACGAAGAAATACAGTCACTAAGAAATAATAGGTTTTCAAATATTTATGAGTGTTTATCATTTTATGAATGAGTTCTTACAAGTAGTTGCAATAACAAGACTCTCTTGCTAACTTTTCCATATTTCTTCGCTTGATGAATTCATCTGTGATTGATTAAATATAGATTTTTCACATCTCCGTCATACGAGACATTATATATAACTAACAAGGCATCTACAAATACCTTGAAACTATTCGATCCCTAGAAATAAAATAAAGCTATATTCTCAGATATACCCTGACATAGTGGTTATTGAATTGCTTTGAATTTGTTTTGCGTTCTTCACATATTTTAGCTTAAAATCACCCCAACACTTAATCTCTCTATTATCTTAGTTTATCGACCCTAGATATCCAAAAAATTATCTTTTAGGTATTTCTTCACCATCAATCTTAACTACTTCCTTATTTTTACTCATATTATTATTAAATTTGCATTCCATATATTCTGTCTTAGTCTGTCAAATTTTAAAATATTTAGATTATAGAGCAGCTCTCCAACTTTCTAGCTTTGTTTTGACACCGTCTTTTGTTTCATCGATCAAAACTATGTCATCCATGAACAATTTATACCATGATACCTCATCTTTCATGTGCCTGGTTAACTCATCCAAGGCCAAAACAAAGATATATGGGCTCAACGCTGACACTTGATGTAGACTCATTGTCATAAGAATTCACTTGTATCTCCACTAGTCCCACACTATGGGAGAAGCAACTTCGAGATTTTAGAGAGATTAGAAATGCAAGGAATGGTTATTTAAATAGCTGTTTTGAAACTAAATAAGAAAGTATAGGTAGAATGTTAAATAGTTTGATGAGTATTTTGAAATTAAATAAAAAAATATGAGCATAGTATTAACGGAAAGGTTTCTATACTTACCCTACAACATAGAAGATCTATGCTTCCCCTACCATCCAGCCGTCCAATTTTGATCAAAAGAGCCACTCAACGTTTGATTTTAGATCCGATGTCTCAAAGTGTTTTATTTTTAGTCTTGTTTATACAAATTGTATGAATATGAAATTTGGTACATGCCATCTTCTCATTGGGACGCACCAATAAAAAATATTAAAAATAATTTTTCGATAAATATAATACCCAAAATACTTATTGAAGCTTTCGGGGTTATTTTGATCATTTTATTTTATTAGAAATATTTTTTTAATATTTTTTGCTAGTGCAAGTTTAATAGAGGATTGGATGTCAAAAATTTGGTGCCAAAATAGTTTATAGCAAAAAATTAAAAATTAAATAGTGTAGAGATGTGACATTGATTGGGGCAATCTTAGCCCTCCATTCAAAATGGACGGTTGGATAAGGGGAAGTATATAAGTTTTATGTTGTAGGGAAAGCATAAAAAGCTTACCATAATGATAAATAATTCATCTCTTATGAGTATTTGGATAAGTTTCCTTATTTTTTAAATTTATAGTGGTGCCCTTGTGAAATTAGGAAAGCAGATGATTTAAGGGAAAATTATATATAAAATGATAGTAACGTTGACAAATTCAGAGGCAAATTCAGAGGGGCGATCTTCCATAGTGATGGTTATATAGGAAAGTAAACACACCTAACAAAAAAAACCATATCATAATTATCTTTAGAATTACAATTATCTTTAGAATTACAATTAAAAAGGAAAAATCACAATTATCTTTAGAATAAGAAATAAATAGGTTATAAGTGGGAAACTATACATGGCTAACTAAAAAACGCATGGACTACAATTATCCTTAAATAAGAAAACATAAAGATAATTACAATTAAGAAACAAAGAGTGCGTGGAATTAGAATGGTTCAAGTCAATGTAGTGGGAGAGAAGAGAGAGAAAGAGAAAATTGGACGGTCCAGGAGAATCAGTAGCTGACGGGATTTTCTGGGAAGGTCGATTTTCCCTATCGTCTAATTAGGCGTTCTCTTTCTTGTTAGTGCATTTAATGACGACGTTTCCAAATAGTTAATCTAGAGAGAGAAAATTCGGTTGTCTGTACTCGCTCTCTATTGAGTTTTGTGCGCAGAGATAAGCGATAGGAGCTCCCGTCTCCAAGGAATTGGAGGCACACGTCTCTCGTCCATGTCCCTGCTGTCAATGTAAATCGCCCCATTTCACTTTAACTTCCTCTGCCTTCTTTCTATTTATAGTTTGTTTTTATGGTTCTCAATCTGAATTTTTGATTCTCCTTGAAAGCTATCCATCTTTTGAACCCATCCATCTCTTTCTAGGTCTTGGAATCATTCCTTGCATTTCCAATCTCTCTAAAATCTCGAAGTTGCTTCTCCCATTGTGATTTTGAATCTCCCATTGTAATTTCTTTGAAACCCTCTACTACATATTTGTCTCTGTTCCTCCGTTTGTCTCTGTCAACTTTAAGCAATTTTCACAATAAAAAAAAAACAAAAGTCCGCAGTAACCCATGAATCACTTTTCTCTTCTCTCTCTCCTAGGAATTGCAGAGTTCTAGTTTTTAGTTCGTTGTTTCGTAACCAAATCAAAACCCAAAAAGTGCAGTTAGTTTTGTTTCATTCTCTAGGGATTGCAGTTTTCTGTTTTGAGTTCTATCCAAATCCAGTCGGTTTTTTTAATAAGAAAATCAAAACCCAAAAATTTGCAGTTGCTTTTTTTTTGTTTGTGAAATTCTCTTCTTTTTTGTATTCCAATTTTCCCAGAACGATGATGGCTCTTGGGTCTTCTTGTTGTGGGCATGGCTCCTCATCCACCCTCTCTCCACTCGCTCAACCATTTACAGTTGATCACTATTGCATAAAAAAACCCACTGAATCTCCTGCTCAAATTGCTGATCAATCCCCTTCCGATCCCTACAATTCCTCTTCAAGGCCCTACAATCCCTCTCTGAGGAATTGGCTTCATTTGGGGCCTATTCCTGATGGACTTTTTCACTCCTCCATGGATTTAGAAACTGGTATTACTGGCATGTCATCTAGCCACGCAGTTGGTTTTGGGTACTTTGACAAAGACCTGAACTCCTCTTATAGTCGAAATTTCTCGTATTCGGAGGAGCCTGAACCATTATCAAGCAACCCAATTGAGGCTGAAACTTATTTTCCCCAATACCCTTTAGAGGTGCCTGATGCATGTTCAAGTTTGTTTGCTTCGAGTGGGTCTTCTCGAGCCAATTTAGTTGGCAGTTCGGGATATGAATCAGCTCCTGTTACTGTGAATTCAGAGAGGTATTCAATGAATAATTTTGATTGTTTTGGTAACCCCCCTGGTTATGTGTTGGAAACCAAGTGGAAGAGCCCTTGGATTGAGCCTCTTGATGGGCAGCAAGGTCAAGGGAAGGGGCATGAGCAGCTCACAGGCGAGTGGTTTACCAAGTGGCCTCTTTCATCGGTTAATGGAGCATGTTCACAAGATCTGTGGAAGCATCAACCAGGTGTGTTGCCACCACTCTCTTCATATTTGAGTGATGCTTTTGTATGCCCTTTCTCACAGTTACCTATTTGTGCAATAATTCTAACAGAGAGTGGTTCTCTCTTTCTGTCTCTCTGTCTATATTGGATTGCTTTTATTATATTGTTGATGTAAATATTGATGATGGCATGTGATTGGATTTGTGTATATTGCTGGGGGATCTCGACTGAGTGTGACATGTCTTTCTCATTGTTACATACTATTTCCATTTTGTTTGACAAGCAGTTGGGGAATAATCCCACTGAATGGCAGCAAATTTGTGCTTATGAATTCTCATATAAGGGCTCTCATTCTTAGAAATTTCATTGTGGTGAATTATTTCGTTGTGGTGCATTATTGGGCCATGGTTGGCAGTCTTCTCAAGAGGATGGTATGATGTCATGATTGAGGATTTGTTTGCTTAAGTCTATGTTTGGCTGAAATTTCATTACCTGGAACGTTCACAACAAGCTGAAGAATTAATATTTGATGACTTTTAGGCATTGGTGCTCCATGAACACTTTGTCCGCTTTATTGCTTACTCAATTTGTTCATAAAAAAATACAAGCATGTGCCAAGAATACAATGAAAACAAGCACCGAATTAAACTACTAGAAGAAATAGATGATGAGGAATCATCCGTATGTATTGGGGAAATGATACTGGGATAACTATAGTAGGTTGGTGAACTAGAAAAATGTTCGGAATTATCAGGCTTCTCATTTCCTCAAACAGAAAGGGGGTGTACAAAACTATCAATCATGCTTTCAGTTCAAAGTTTCAAACACTTTCAAGATGATATACACATCTATTTGTGGTTGGGAGACACATGATGAACCCATCTGATCACATTCATAGAATATTATTCAATTGTGGGGGGCTTGTCAATGATTGATATGGCTCCATTCCATGCCAGGTGCTGTATGAACTGTGTTATGTCTCCAACCACAAGGGCTCATCGACAATTGCTGGATATGATTAGGATATTACTTCGTGCCATAATGTGGACAGAACCTTGGGGTGTCTCCAACCACAAGGGCTCATTGATACTTGCTGGATATGATAAGGATATTACTAATTTTTCTTGCCATAATGTGGACAGGACCTTGGGAATTCAATTGTCAGAGCCTTGAAATTAATAGTTTTACTTGAGAAAAATCAAGAAACAGGAAAAACTTAATGAAGAATATGGAGAGTGTTAAAAAAAGAAAAAGAAAGTGCGTGTACCTGTCAAATTTGTCTAGCTATAAGATCATCATCATTATCATCTAAGCCTTTTCCCAACTAATTAGGGCAGCTACATGAATCCTGGTACGCCATTCTGCTATATAAAAAATCATACCCTTAATGAGGCAATAGGGCCACATATTTTTTCTCACTACTTCCAACCATGTCCTTTTAGGCCTACCCCTTACCCTTTTTGTGCTTTCCACTTGAACTAACTCACACTGTACTGGGCCTACGCCACACATAGCTAGCCCACCTAAGTCTACTCTCTCTCATCTTTTCGCCTATTCGTGTCACACCTAAATTTTTTCCAATGTATTCATTTTGAATTCTATCCTTTCTTGTCTTGTCAGTCATCCATCTCAACAGCCTCATCTCTACTGCACTCATTCTATGGGTATATCGTTTTTTGACCGCCCAACATTCCGACCATAGGGCAAAGTTGGTCTCACAGCTGTCCTATAGAACTTGTCCTTCGGCTTCATTGGTATGCGGCGAGCACATAACATTCCGGTTGTACATCTCCAATTTGTCCACTAAGCTCTGATTCTATGTACGACATCTTCCTCAATCTCTCCATGTTCTTGAATTATCGACGCAAGATAATAATTGGCCAATGACTGATACATCTATTTCCTTAGCATGTCATAATTGTTTTATAGAAAGACAAAACACCTAAAGTATTATGAGTTATATTCATTTCCAAGTTGAAGGTTTTTAGTAATTTAATTTAATTTTGTTGCTGAATACGATTACATTTTCCTATGTCATATTTTTAATCATAAAAATAGGATGCTTCTTTGTGTCCTATTTTCATTTGATGATTGTTTTATCTTGCTTTCGTCTCAGTGCTCATAGGCTTGTTTCTATTTCATTAATAACATTTGTTTGCTACCTGTTTTTGCATATTTATGTGTTCGCCAAGTCATGATTGTTGAAGGCATCCCAAATTTTTGTCCCAAATTTTGCCCTTCGTATCTCTGTTACTCTGTTTTCCCAGAACCATTAAGAGGATATTCTTCGAATTCAACAGTTAATGTTGGCACAGTTTTCCAGGGAACACATTTTACTTCTATCATGTGTGGATCAGTGTGATACTGTAAGTTCTAGATTTTTATCAACTAAGAAAGTTCAGGTGTTGAATTAAGAAAGTAACCTAGAAATGTTAGGTTTGAGAATTAATGGCGTAACGAAACTTTAGGGAATAGTATTGAGAAATAATGGCGTAACGAAAGTTTAGGGAATAGTAAGGGCATTTTGCAGTTTCTTGGTGACATTTTGTTCAAGGATTTGACACGATAATCAATTTCCAAATTTTAAGCATGGATCAGCATACTTATACAATATAAGTGCACAGAACAACACAAAAAAGGATTGGAATGACCATAAATGAAGTTTTTGAAAGTTAGTTTGCTATGGAGTGTTATTTATGCAAGAAAGCCACCATTAATTTTGCCAGTTTTCAAAGAAAGAAGGAACCTTGACACTTGATTGCCTGAACTCATTCAATGCCACGAATTTTACAATTTTTGTGTTTGAAGTTTCTTGATAATCAACAAATATTACTATTTCTTAAGAACAGGTTGTCTTGTAAGATATGGAATGGTGGTGCTATCATTTTTATGGATAACAATTATTTTTATTTGCTTGATTTGCCATGCATGGATATTTCAGGCATGACTATTTTACGATCTCATTTTGGCTCCTGATTTTGCATTTCCTTGCTTGATCATAATATTGCTTGACGTGTGGCTCTTTTGGATCACAGTTTGACTGATTTATATATTTCAACAACTTGAGACTTGGTTGGCAAACAATATGTCCTCTCTATGGGGTTCTTTTTGTAATAGTCTAACCAGTTTTTTATTTAGTCATGGAAATGGTGCTCATTTACTATGAATGTTCACTATATGTCAATGTTACAAATATTGCCAATCTAGATCGAAAATCGCCGATCTGGATTGGGAATCAATAAACACTGCACCTATGAGTCGAAATCTGCCGGTTCATTAAATATACATGATATAATAGTTCATATTATATCAACTAGGCTTAAATAGCTTTGTTGGTTAGCACTGGTGGTGGGCATTTAGTACTTAGTTGTAAGCATAGTTATCGGAATCTCTCCACCGACCTTGCGATTCCGGTTCTGAAACCCGATTCTTGTTTTTGATAAGGAATCTCCACAAAAACCATTTTTCGGAACCAAGGAAACTCAATTCCATAATTTCGGAATCTTGATTCAACACATCTTTAGAAGCCATTTTTCGGAACTAAGGAAACTTGATTCCTTAATTTTGGAATCTCGATTTAACACATCTTTAGAAACTATTTATCGGAACCAAGGAAACTCGATTCCTTAATTTCGAAATCTCGATCCAACACATCTTTAGAAACTTTAACCCATTAATTGTGGGTAGACATTCCCAAATATATCGAATCTGGATTTTAGTGAGGATTAAATCTTGATTCAAAAATAAATAAATTTACGGTTTCAAGAAATAAAGAAAAACCAATGCAAAGTACCTAATGTCCAATGTCTGCAATTGTTGTGCACTTCTTAAAGGAAATTGGAGTAGAAATCTTCCTTCAAATGCTTCTAGTGGTTGCAGTGTTTCATTATTTTACTTGTGCCACCCTAGACGGTCTTTACTTTAAATTTAAAATATAACTGGTAAATACAACACATACAATTTAAAGTAAACCATGGCGTAGACATAATCCTATTTTGCCTTTATAATAATGAAATCAAAATCACAATTTAGAAATGCTTATCTTTTGTATATAAGGACCATAAGTTCAATAGTCAACACAATCACTTTAAATTTTGGGGAAACTTATAATAAGAGACATCAAATATAGGTTCTAAAGTTGATAAGGCTCAAGATGTGCTTGGGGCTTCCTTCTCCATAAAAATGAAATTTCGATTCATGGTCAGGGTCGTCAAACGCATTACATAGTCCATATTATTGTATATCGATCTCAAACAGGCATGGATCTTTGATCCATATACTTCAGAAACTTGATTCCAAATATGTTAGAATCACTATTTGAAGCAGCAACATATCTCTATTCCACATATGTTAGAACCTCGATTCCATAGATGTCAGAAACTTGAATCCGCATATTAATGAATCTTGACTCCTGGAGTGTCGATTCCAGGGGGATGGGAATCTTGGCTCCAAGGAGGACGGAATCTCGATTCCATATGTGGATGAAACTTAGATCTATTTCGGTCGAAACACGATTTTTAAAAACTAGGAATCTTGTTCCTAACGATTGCTATTGTATGGACAACGATTCAATAAGACATAAATCTTCTAGTCTGCCACGTTTCCGGTTCCTAAAATGATTCATGTTTTTATGCATTTCCAACAACTATGGTTGTAGGTTTGAGCCCCCATCCAAGCACTTTATCTTTTGAAAAAGCTATTTAGCTTGAATCATGAACCAATGATGATTTACCTTGAACTTCAAAAAAGTTATGTACCCTTTTTATGAATATTTTCCCCCCTAGTTGTCCCAAAAAGAATTGCAGTGAAAGGAATCGAACACTACGCCATCGGAAAGCAACAAACATTCATAGCCACAAAAGCTGTCGTTGTTGGGCAATTAAAAACATAGTCATTATATAATATAGAATGTTTCTTTGTTTTTTTTCGCTCTTTTTTTTTTTGGCCGGTTTGCTGATCCAGCCAATCCAGATTGCCAATCCTGATGATCCAGATCAGGATCGGTGAGTTGACAATCCACCCT